CTGAAATGCTGACGCGTGGATGCCTTTTGGTCCCGGTTGGTGCCACCAACCGGGACCAAAGGCCCTCCTTCCTGGGCTCGGCGCACCGGCCACGTGGAGGCCCATCTGTCCCGGTTTATGCAAAAACCGGGACTAAAGGTTTAGGGCATTAGTACCGACACTTTAGTCCCGGTTCAAAAACCGGGACAAATGGCCCTCACGAACCGGGACTATAGGTCCTTTTTTTACTAGTGGAAGCATGGAAGATAGAACAACAAATGTGCAAACTTAAGCAAACTTAAGCAAAATCAGTTGATTATGTAAGAATAAAATAAAGAAACAGAAAGTTAATCTTGGTAAGGTGAGATGATTCATTGTATGGGCCACCGAGATGGATCCAAAATCAAGAATTTCTTACTTGAAAATTTATGGGTGAGAAATCAGGTATAACCTCAGCACCTCCGTATAACATGCAAGGTGAGGAGCATGGAGCAGTGACACGAGTTGTGAAACTTTGAGGCAGATTTTATACCTGTAACATGCAAGGTCGAGTTAGCTATGTAGATCAAATTAGGATAATTAATTTCCTGAGGCAAGCTGAGGCTGATTCTGAGAACGAAGAGCACCTATTATTCCTCTCGAGTGCAAGCCATGCCCACTGGCTCGTCAGGCTCCACGCTGGAGCAAAGGGAGGAGGTCCTATCCTTGGTGGAGCTGCTACGACCCCGGGTGCGCATGGAGTGCATCCGCGGATGGGCGAATCCGATGTGCACGGCCGGGCGAAGCTGATGTGGGGCACCGGAAGTCGCTGTTGTGGTTCCGTCAACCCGTGGCGGGTCTGTTGTGGCGTGAATGCGTGATCCGGGGTGGCGTCATGGTCAGGAGAAACCGATGCAGTGCAACGGGGAGGCGCTACGGGTGCCGTCGACGCGCTGCAGGCACGCAGCGGCGCCGTCCAGGCGTGGTGTGGTAGCGCGGCATCGATCTCCAACTTGTGGTGACGTCGTTGGCGAGAAGACCATCTTTGTTGAACCATGGCAACGCCATGGCTTGTGCGTGCTGGCATGGCAAGGAATGTGGGAGGACTGTGACAGGGAAGGGATCCATCCTGTGGAGTCTATAGGAATGGCAAAAGATATACGTGAGCATTGGAACATGAAGGGGAGAAGACAGTGCAAATTAGTCTCGTAGGCTTCCATCAGTTTCGGCGAGCACTTAATAATGGATGCATGTGGGCTAGAGTAACGGTTTGCATGTGCTTGCTAGTTATTATAGCCTGGTCGGGTCATAAGCCTTGTGTGCGTTCATTTTTTCTAGTTGATTTGGTGAAATATTTAAGCATTTAGTATTGGGCTGCATGTGCTTGCATGCGCCATCTTTTCTAATATTAAGAGTTGATGATGTGCTCCCGCAAAAAAAAAAGAGCTGATGATGTGGCAGGTTTGCTTAGGTGGATAGCTTGCATGATGAGTTAGTGGGTTGCTCCTATTTAGTATTGATGACGTGGCATGGTGATGATGTGGATAGTGTGCATGTTGAGAGAATAGGTAGAAGTGGGGAGCAACTTCTTAAGAATGTTAGATACTAGTTCTACTTCACGATACCTGAATTTCACTTATGCAATGAAACGGAGTCTGAAGTACTGACGTTTGTTTATTTGTTAATGCTGGAAGAGTTGACAAAGGCCTCTTCGAACGGATCTCATTGTAGGTTGCAATGGAAACCCTTCTGTGTATATTTCATATTTCAGAACATCTCTCAGGGGCAACATACATTGTCATGTGATACCAGAAAATGCTATTGCCGCTATCATACAACTAGCTTATCCGTATATATGTTTGGTAAACTACCACCCGGTGGTTCCCATACAATGTACCGATGGTCGCTGGGTTAATTCTCCGAATCATTAGTTTCTATGGCAACTGTCAAAAGAAGTTGGAAAAGGCCGTCTTGCCAAATCGCACCTTCTTCCATCTGCTCTTGAACAGGTACGGATGGAGACCCAGTACGTGCTCAGGCATGAAGTCATGCCGTGTTAATATGCCAACAACAGGCGCCCTCTGCATTCAGACAGTAAATGGTCCAAAATTAATCACTGGTAACCATTTGAGCAAAATATATACAAATTTGCAATATACGGAGTAAAAGATAATTATACTAAAGGGATTCATACGCGCTTTCTCAACCTGTATGACTAATCATCATGGTTACTCTCAGTATTAATCAATAATCATGAAACAACTTGCCAGCAAAACACATGACGGTTGCAACATGCGAGCATGAGAATGGAATAAGAATGAATTACAAAGCAGATTTAAGAAGTAATCCTTGAAAATCTTAAAATCTGAGATAATTCAGATGTAAACAGAGTCGCTGACCTTGGAAGTTTTTGGAAGAACCAAAAGGTGTCTTAATCCAACTTCACGAAAAAGTATAAGAGCTTTAGCCAAGGACATGGTCTCAACCACAGTGTAAGGGGATGTGTTTGTGAAAGGATGCAAGTCTACAAACATTTCCAGTTCTTCTGCAGTCAGTTCAATGTCCTCAATTCTGTCATGCTTTCCTGAACCACGTTTAGCGAAATCCTCAGGTGAGAAATGCTTTGAAGCATCTGATGCTGAAGCTGTGGAACTACTGATGAACTCTTTCTTCCTCAATAGAACAAGCAGGTGCGACCGAAGAACTAGACCATATAACAGAGGAGTGTCTGAAAATGGTGGCTCGTCAACCACAGGGAAACCATTATGATCGGTTGCCTTCAAAGTATCCACAATACGGCCAACCTTCTCTATGCCATTGAATGTCTGTAGAGGGCCAGTTACAACATCACTAACTGACAGTTGTCGCATGTAGGGTTCAGCATGCCCTTCAAGAAAAGGAAAACCCTTCAATTTAACAAGCAGATCATAGACATTTGCATTAAAAGCATCTGCCACTGTCTTTGATATGATAAGGACCAGCATAACCAGAGGAAGCATCAGCAGATTATTTGTCAGTTCTAGGATGACAACACAAACTGAGACAGTCATTCTCATCGATCCACCTAGAAGGGCAGCAGAACCAAGAACCGCAAAAAGACCATGATCCAAAGTTGATTGCGACCCAATCAGCATGCCAACCAGACGACCGTAAGCTGCACCAGTTAAAATAACAGGTACGAAAAGGCCAGATGGTAAGGCAAGGCCATAGCTGAAAATGCCCAGAAAATATGATGCAATAAAGAACACAAGGATCGAGGTGATATGGAACTCATGGTCAGTGCCATTACTGTAGAGGTTTCTAATGGTGTCATCGTTGGTGTTAAAGAACAGGCTAGCCAAGTCATTGTAGTTATGCATTGGACACTGGAACTTCTTGAAATTTCCAGATCTCCCTATTGATGGACAAGCTTCTCTTGAGTCAGCTGGGCATGGTTTGCAAGCTGCAAGCCATGGCAAGCCAAAGAGGCAACATGAAGTACAGACGGAGACTGTTGCAGCCAGGAGTAGTCTGTAAGTTCGACCTTTCCTGAGAGTAAATTGAACAGATAGGAAATGAAGTTAAGCTGGGGCAAATGTTTTCACTTCGAATGGAAAAACAATTCTAATTGACAACTGCAATTAAGTATTTACAAAAATTAGCAGTAAGTGTGCATTACCATTGTTATGGACAGTTTTGAACTTTTAATTAACCAATTCTCAACATTGATAGGAGATAATATTTCAGGCAAGTGATGTATTCAAGACTACTAAAACTTTACCAAATAGAATGTCTGCAGTTAAACATTATGGAAGTAAAGACCAGTAACATTAAGCCAATATCAGTACCAGTACATACTCGTTGATAACATTGTAGAGACGAAGAACCTTGTCGAGGAAGAAGTTGTACAGGCTTCCCAGTACTCCTCCAAAAACTGCTAGAGTGATTACCGGAGGTAAATCAATCACATGATAGTTGACATAGCCCGAAGTCACATCAAACATTATAAGACCGCCTTTCCCGAACAAGCCACACCGGCCTCTTTTACAGATGTCTATTAATGCCCTAAGGACAACGGCAACAACTGCTGTTGTGAAGAAAGCTCGCCAGAGTAGGGCACTCCTCCATCTGCAAAGACAACAAAAAGGATGGTCCACAAGTATTTTATTCATTGCAAAATTTTGTATAGAGGTGCCATGTTGCAGAAGCCCTTGCATAAATACTTTCATCAAAGGATATGCTTAAAGGACAAATATATTGCACCCTACTACCCTTCACTGCATCAATGATAATTTCTAGCAAGAATGGTCGGATAGGTAGAGTGATGGTTCAAGATTTCAGATAATCACAATAAGATAATCAGATAACCCCAACTTAAGGAGAAAAATGTGAGAATAAGGAGAAACTCGTTTTGATATCACGTGACACATGGTAAAAAGCATCATTTTTTTAATGGGATTGCGTAAGTCAAAAGTTTTGCCACTAGGTGGAGCAATCTTCTCCTCACTTACAAACATATAAACTTTAAAGCCAGCAAGTTGCTAACTTGAGGCATGTATTGGAGCATCGAGTGTGCCACCTTAATTAAGCATAAACCTACAGAAAACTATATGTAGGCAAAACAAATTCCTGCATTTCTCAAATGTGGAGGACATGTTCTTCTCTCAATGAATAGATAATGAAATTAAGAAAATTAATCGAGGAAAGTACCAATATGTGGAATCATGGAGAAGTTTTTACCGTGAAGACACTGTTTCCAGAGCAAAAAGAACTCCAGCGACTGGAGCCCTGAAAGCACCAGCAATACCAGCACCGGCACCACAAGTGACAAGGTCCCTCCGATCTCTATCATTCTTGAAGTGCCTTAGCCATTTACATGTCATGCGATATTTACGCGAGCCACCTTGCCCAAGTATTGATGCAATGCATGCACCTGTGTGTACCAGAGGACCAGCTTTTCCCACATGCAGTGATGATGATACTGCAGCAATGCATCCCACAACCTGTTCAGAAACCAGAAGATAGTTGAAATTCAGGCATATTCATAAAACAGGAACGAGCAGAGGCAATTTGGTCTGCACAAAAAGATGACGGGAAAGTGTAGTGACCATAATGGCATTACAACAGCACATTTCTTCCCTACATCTTCACCTTGTATGGTCTTTGTGAATAATTAATAATATGGCTGCATGCATCATCCAGATGCAGAGGCCGGGGGTACATCCTCCTTTTCTAAAAAGTAAAAACAAAATTCTTCCCTACATCTTTTATGTATACGAAGTGTTGTATGGGTAACAAAATACCATAGCATATTTCTGTTGACATAATTTCCTATCCCATACAGATCTGATCAAGTCCAACACTCCCACTTGCGAAAATCATCGCTCATGTGATGTGTTGCTTAAAAGCAGAATGATCATAAACAAACAGAACTACTGCAGACCCCACTACAATGTCTGACAAGTATATTAGAAGTATCTCTGCTACAATACTAACTCCAAATGGCAGGCCAAGAAACCAATCAAGCAGTCTATTGCTTTAAGTTAAGCCAAGTGTGAGCTAGTAGTAAGTGCGAAGTGTCAGCCATCATGAATGCAAGGGCACATCATCATACCAATAATTCATGCCATGAAACAACAGGGATGAAAGCGAAAGGAATTTACTACTCTACCTTCACCACCAGAGTCTTAAAACAGAAAATGTTGGGTGCATCGACGCCGTTCAAGTAGGCCTTCACCTCCGGGATGCCGGAGCCGGCGGCCGCAGGCGCCACGTACACCGTCAGCACCGTGGCGAACATGGTGAGCAGGAGATTCGAAAACAGGAAGACCAGAAACGCCGATTCAAACCTGACGGGATCAATTTTGAGTCAACACTGAAAGTCAAGTCGGTATTCACAGCTAAATCGCAGTCAGTTCAGTTCAACAGAAAGGCTCCGGCGTCCAGTGCACACTGCTGGTTACCTGCGCGCGAACATGCGGTTGGAGGTGACGACGAACTTGGCCCCGGCGACGTTCTCGACGCCGAGGTTGGCGACGAAGGCGGCGGCGGCGGTGAGCGCGCCGACGAGGAAGCAGAGCGCCCACTTGAGCGCGAAGTAGCGCAGGATGTGGCCCCGCCCCTGCGCCCGCCAGTCCTGCTTGAACACGTCGTTCTCGATCAGCCTGCAAGCAGCCCAGCCGGGCACCGCCAGAGTCAACAGCTGACGCTGATTGGAACCAAGCCGGCGGAATTGCCGGAGAGATTGGGGGGAGGAGGGGCGCGTACTCGTAGTCGAGGCTCTCGATGGGGCAGAAGTCGGTGCCGACGAGCGCGACCTGGGAGGTGGCGTTGGATTGCAGCTGGCCGCCGAGGAGGAACCGCCGCTGGTTCCGCCGCTGCTCCTCGTCGCCGGAGCCGTCCTCGCCCGCCCCCGCCGCCGCGCCGTCCTGGAAGAAGAAGGAGGAGCTGTAGGAGATGAGAGGGGCCTCGATGTCGGCCTCCGGATCCGCCGCGCCGCCCCCGGCCCCGGCGCCCGTCTGTTCCCTCGGAGCCATCGCCGCCGATCCGCTCCGCTCCGCTCGACAGCCGCCGCGGCACACGCGACGCACGAGGAGCAGGGGGGAGTGGTGCTCGCTCGGCTCGGCTCTGCTCTCGGCGAGTCCAAGTACCAACGACACAGATTCCCCGGGCCGGGACAGCGAGACCCTTATTAACCGCTGTGACGCTGCCGGGTGGGGGCCATGGGACGGCCGGGCCCCACGTGGACGTGACAGTGGTTGGGCACGCTTGCACGTTCGGGAAGTTGAGCTCGGAAAACGGTTGGCTGGTTGGGGGCTCGGGGGAAATACTGGATGGCATCACGCTGCTACGGGGAGAAATTTAGGACGAAACGCTTGCGGACAGGGGATTCAAGGTCGATTGGATCTGATTCCCGTGGGCGATGCGTCCGGTGTAGCTGTATCTACTATGATACTTTGTGTGGTGGATGTGTCCTGTGTAGTGTACGAGAGTTGTGTTTGATTCATGGGATGATTCCCTTCTGGAGTGCAATTTTCTAACGAGTCTTTTGTCTTAACTGTTGAAGTGTTCCTGTAAAGAAAAGATGTTGATGTGCTACGTCGACAAATTTAGTGAGCTTTTCCGTGAGAGACTAGTTCTGCTGGTGCTGGATCTTCGGGTACGGTGTCGTTTTCGCATGCGCAATCCTAACTTAAACTCGCAATCATTGCTTGAAGGAGATTTTTATTTTATTTTATTTTATTTTTGCGAGGTTTTCACAGGTAGACGCGTGTTCAAATGCTAAACGTACACGTGTAGACGTTTGAGTTGTTTAGTATGATGGAGGTTTTCATGAAAAAAGATCGATTTTATATGACGGGTGGGGAAAAAAGGTCGATTTCACAACATTCTTTTATTATAAGATTTCACGCTTGATGATGTTCGTAAATCACCCTGGTGCTTGTATCCGAGGTAAAATAGTTGGTAACAACTAGTAACTGTTAGCAATTCTGCACACCATTTCTATCTAGGGACATTACTGGCATTTTAAAACACAACTTATACATCAATCTTAGATTGCAATCTGTAGTTCGATGATTAAAGGGACAATGATATCCCCAGTCCATCAGGATTCAAGTCCTGATGCTCGCATTATTCCTTCTTGGATTTATTTCAGGATTGTCGGCACCGATATCATTGGACGACATGGGTATCACACCGTCCATGGGCAAGTATAAAACAGCAGCAAACGGCTGGATTTGCCATCGTGCAAGTGTCGTTCACTGTTGTGTCGTGTGTGAAGTACTTCCGCTCCGTCAACGACGAGATGCTATGTCGGCTCAGTCTCTCGAAGATGCTCATAGGGATAGGGTGTGCATGTGCACGTTCATAGGGTGAGTGTATACGCATATGTATGAGCGCTTGAGTCTGTACTGTGTTAAATAACATAATTAGAAGTCAATGATCTAAATAAAGTTAGGAAATGTTCTTAATAGACATACCTCTTAAATTCAATCACTGACATTGTGGTGTGATAGAAATTAGCTTTGGTTGGGATAAGTTTTTTGTTATTCTAACAACCAAGTCCATACCTTAAAAAAAAGACATGATAGGATATTAGTAACTACTCCCTCCGTCTCAAAATAAGTGTCGAGACACTTATTTTGGAACGGAGGGAGTACTTCTTTGGAATTATGTTTTCCTTTAGCTCCTGCCAAGACCCTAGTCGAGGTGTCTCTAACCATGTTGTTCTCTTGTTACATGCGGGTCATATTCATCCAGTGATTCAAACTAAATCCTTTTCGTTTTGAGTTGTGTTGATCCCGGGAGTTGATCCGAGAGAACAGATCTAGCCCATATTGTTTCTTAAATTTGGCTTTGAAAAGAAGTACCCCCTCCGTCCGAAAATACTCGTCCGAGGAATGGATGTATCTAGATGTATTTTAGTTATGGATACATCCATTTGTATCCATTTCTACGACAAGTATTTCCGGGCGGAGGGAGTAAAAGGCTATTTTAAATACTTGGCATAATTGTTTTTCTAATACCGTAGAGTTCTTAAGGGGTGGAGTTACAATATAGAAGAAGAATATAAATGGTCTGAACATGTTATATGTGAAATGGTTTACTTTCACTTCTTGAGTGTTGTTGCTACTATTTCATGGACTTTGTGGATGCATATCAAGCTTTCAAAATATTTGTCCCGAGGATCCGACTAACGTGATACTTTTTGTTTGGTACCTTTTGAACTCCTAGGCAACTTTGTAGAAAGGCGCTCTAAATCTGGGGTCATATAGGTTGGCTCAGGTCGCACTCTATGTTCTTATCAATTTGATCTTGGCGATGTGATCAAAGACCGAAAAATCATGCTTATACAGTGTTGTGTTTCTTCCTGTGTAATGGTAGTAGAGTTCATTCCGGTACAAAGTTCTCCTAGATCGTGTTTGTAATCTTTGTATTGCAGTTAACTAGCTTACATTCCGTATTTTGTATAATAAAGAGAACTTTATTGACTCAAAACCTCGGATCAAACCTAATGGATGTGCAACAAAGGTTTAGGCTTCTGTTAGAAGTTTGCATCTGTTATGGTGTTGTTGGGATGATTAGGGAGTATTTGCCTGCATTTTGCCACGGTTTGTTCATTGTTCATTCTTTTTCTGCTGTAGCTGACCGCTATTGTTTCATAAAGAATCTAAGAAGGCCTTGTTTGGTTCATTTTTGTTATGCTTTTTTAAGGCTGAAGTTTGTAGTGCCGAAGGTTTCTATTAATACAAAAAGGAGGAAAAAACCCTCTCTTGCAAAATTGACGCATCAAATCGACAAAAAAAAAATCAAACACGGATACTTTGTTTCCTAAGAGATGCAGGGGGTGGGTGGTGTGGTGTTTGCAATCATCCACTTTCACCTTTCTCAAAGAAAGTACAGAATTCCTCGATAAAAAAGTTGTAGAAAAAAGATCAAGAACCCGTACCGCCAAAAACACAAGAAACTAGCGGCGCGACAAAGCAAGCACCGTGATGCTTGCTAAAAACACCCAGAGAGGTAAACACGTCGACTTCTTCCACCAATGTACAGTACATCACAAGATCAGCAACATGAAGAGTAACACTTACCCGAGAAACGTCGACGCATATATGCTCGTCGGCCACGGCCGGAACGGCAGGAGCAACGTCGCTGGGCAAGGCCGTCGTGCCGGGTAGGTCGCCGGCTGGTCCTACCGCCATCGACATGGACGAAGGTGCTCTGCACAAGAGAAACGCAAGGAAATGCTCTGTAACCGCCATGTTCAGAAATCAGAAGAACCAGAACAGTACCGTCCCAAGTTATTGGAGACGGAGGTTGAAGGAGAGGAGCCATACGTACCACCAGGGTGGACACACACACGTCCGTACTATGGAGCTCAGGCGTTGAAACCAGCGGCCCTTCGTCACGGCCGGATTTGTACCCCGTCGTAGCAACTAAACGGATAGGACAAAAGGGCATCCATCGGACAGTGACACTCTCGACAGCTGACGGGAACGGAGCGGAGAAGCTGTAACGCAATTTACGCAAGCCAACAACCGCGGCATCAGGGCGAGGGAACGGAGCCAGCCTCGGCGACATCGCTATTCTCTGGGCCGATCGAGCGCGGCGGAGCCAATCGAACGCACGTACGGCAAATGGAGAGGCTGTCGTGCCGGCCTTGGAGCTTCTCCTTCTTTGGGAATGCCACGAGCTTTGCTGACGGCGACGTTTGACGCGGGTGCTGCAAATGTCGGGAAGCAGCCGGTGGCAGCGGGGAGCGTTGGAATCGACAGCCCCGGCGGCGCGAGGGCAGCCGGCCGCGTGGCGCG